AAAGAGAGAAAAACACAAGAGAATGAAAAAAAAATATTTAAAAAACTGAAGGAAAGAGCCTATGCTGAAAGGGATACAACGTCCGAGCAGACACAGATACAGACACAAACACACACACACACACACACACACACACACACACACACACACACACATACATTCACATAAACATACACACATACACACACGCGCGCGCGCGCTTAGGTGGACATCCCAGGTCTAGGGTCAGGTCCAGAGGACACACTTCTGACCCGTCCCAGGTGTCGGGTCACTTCCGGTCAACGCGGTGGTGGTGGTGTGATGTCATAAGACAGGAGTGGGAGAGATCCATCAGGTGACGTCACAGCAGTCAGCGGGAGCTGGGTACTCTGGGATTTCTGTTACATGTGTGTGTGTGTGTGTGTGTGTGTGTGTGTGTGTGTGTGTGTGTATGTGTGTGTGTCTTCATTGTGAAATAAGCCATTCTTCAAAGCAATGTAACCAAGGAAACAGTCATTTTTCCTAAGGTTGGGCAATTTTCATCGAACTTCGCACAACACGTTGTATATCCATTTAACAACAGATTGCAGTGTCAATTTCAAGGGGAAAAAAGGTTGATCAAAAGCACAAAAAATGCAAATTTGCAAGGACACTCAACCTTTGGAAATCATTACACGTCGGAGACCATTTTCTCGCTCATTTTACTTCTGACACAAGGACACCATTTCCTTCTTCAACGACAACCTTGGCTTAATTCAAGATGGATCGGCATTCTTTAAAATTAAAAGCAAGGCTTATGAACAGACTTTTTATATTTAATTTGTAGGCACTTCAAAAACCTCATCGATAACATTCAGACGTTTTAGCAGGAGAGATTCCGACCCTGCTTGCAGAGAGAATGAGATGCTCAATAAAAATGTCTCCCAACTCGGGAATAGAACTTGAGTCTCCTTCGTGCGAAAGGAGGGCGCCTAACCCCTACATTTAAGGCACCGGTAACAGGCTGAGGGTTGCATCAATAACTATTATATGCGCAGAAATAAAAGTGCGCTTGATTCCACATTGTCGTGACACACACACACACACACACACACACACACACACACACACACACACACACA